AATAGCATCCAAAAAAAATTAAGGATCTAAGAATCAATCTAAGAAAAGAAGCAAAAGACCTCCCTACTGAAAATTACAGAACTCTGAAAAAAAGAAATGGAAGAGGATATAAGAAAATGGAAAGATCTCCCCTGCTCCTGGGTAGGAAGAATCAACATAGTGAAAATGGCCATACTACCACAACTGCTATACAGATTCAATGCAGTGCCAATTGAAATTCCAACACTATATTTCACAGAACTAGAAAAAGGAATAAAAAAATTCATTTGGAACCATAAGAGATCTAGAATAGCAAAAGCCATTCTAGGCAACAGACACATGGCAGTGGATATAACAATTCCCAATTTGAAACTATACTACAAAGCCACTGTGATAAAAACAGCATGGTACTGGCAAAGAAACAGATCTGAGGATCAGTGGAACAGATTAGAAGACACAAAAATAAATCCAGATATACTCAGCCACCTCATCTTTGACAAAGGAGGTGAACATCCTCAGTGGAGGAAAGATAGCCTCTTTAATAAATGGTATTGGAAAAACTGGATTTCAACCTGCCACAGATTAAAACTGGACCCTTATCTTTCCCCATGCACTAAATTAAAATCCAAGTGGATTAAATATCTAAATATTAAAGCAGAAACACTAAACTTGCTGGAAGATAAGTAAGGCAGAATTCTGGAAGACATTAGCGTAGGAAATGACTTTATGAACAAATCCTCAGTAGCACAGGAACTAGCAGATAGAATCAACAACTGGGATTTCATCTTCTTAAAAAGCTTCTGTACTGCAAAAGAAACCATCAGCAGAACTAAGAGACAACCCACAATGTGGGAAAAAATTTTATCAACTGCTCCTCAGACAAGGGACTATTATCTAGAATATATAAAGAACTAAAAAAATCAGTCCCCCCAAATATAAAGACCCAATTCAAAAATGGGCATCCAAAATGAACAGACATTTCTCAGACAAAAAAGTCAAAGCAGCAAGTATATATATGAAAAAATGCTCCACATCACTGGTCATTCGAGAGATGCAGATGAAAAGAACACTGAGATTCCACCTCACCCCACAAAAAATGGCTGCTTTCAAGAAATCACACAATAACAAATATTGGCTGGGTTGTGGGGAGAAAGGAACCTTCTCCATTGTTGGGGTTGGAGTGCAAACTGGTGTAACCACTATGGAAATCAATATGGAGATACCTCAAAGAGCTTGGAGTGGAGGTTCCATTTGACCCAGCCATCCCTCTGCTGAGTATCTTTCCAAAAGAACTAAAAATCATATCACAGTGATGTATGTGCACCCATGTTTATAGTGGCACAGTTTGTAATAGCTAAAACTTGGAAACAGCCCATTTGCCCATCAGTTGGAAACTGGATAAAGAAGATGTGGTTTTTCTATAAAGTGGAATATTACTCAGCCATAAAGAATTAGAAAATAGATTCATTCATAGGAAAATGGATGCCTATTGAAGATATACTCCTAAGTGAAATATATAAGGCACACATATGTAAATATCAAAGTTTCTCTGGTATGAATAAACTGTAATAATACATAAGATCCTCATAAGATTACTGACATTTGGAAATGGGAAGAAAGGGGCTAAAGGTGTAGGGAAGATGCAATGGGTAAGGGAAAGGTAATAAGGGAAAAGGAAAAAATGTGATATAATGAAAACATGGAAATAAAGTGTTCGTAGATGGGGAGGGGAGGAAGGGGTGAAGGGAGGGCAGGGAAAAGGGGAAAAAATGAGAACCAAGAACTGTCATGTAGAGGTACAAGATCCCAATAATGAATGTAACTGTACTGTATTCCTAAAATGTGCCAATAAACTCAGTTGAAGGAAAAAAAAATAAAGTGAGGTAGAAGTCCAAATTCAGTGTTTTCAATGTGAAATCTAGTTGGCTTAGCACCATTGTTGAAGACATTCTTATTTTCTGTGTTAGATGATCTTGCCTGTACAACAGTGTTAAAATAAATCAAAGGAAATCTTAAGAAATGCTATTTCATTTACAAAGATTTAGAAGGCTTAATATTACTGAGATCATGAAAGCACCCAAAGCTATCTATAGATTTAATGCAATGCCTATCTAAATCTTAATAACCTTTTTTCATAAATAAAAAAGCTGATTGTAAATTTCATATGCAATTGCAGTAGGTATAGAATAACCAATGGAGGAAAAAGAACCAAAGTTGGAGGACACATACCTCCTTATTTTAAGTTTACTATAAAATTATAGTAATCAAATCTATGGTAATAGAATAAAGAGAGACATGTAGATCCATGAAATATTATTGAGTATAGAAATAGATACATATATCTGCAGTCAGTAGACACATATATCTACAGTGAATTGGATGTCCTTGATAGTAGCCAATTTTATCTAACTAAGACAAAATCTTTTTTGTTTTGAGTTGCTGAAAGTTTTTTAATGTACTTATTGGCTATTTTCTCTTCTTCTTTTGAGACATGTCTATTCATTTCAATTGCCCATTTTAAAATTGCATCTTTTGTTTTGGGAGAATATATATACTCTAGATATTAAATTTGATATTAAATATTATAGATATTAAATTATATATATGTTAGTGTATATACACTACTCTAGATATTAGTTATCTATCAGCGAAGTATCTGGCATAAAAATTTTCCCATCTTGTAGGTTACCTTTCCATTCTCTTGATTGTTTCTTTTATATAATTGCATTCATTGATTCTTGGCATTTTAGTTTTCTTTTTTTGTTGAGTTCTGTCCAATTTAGGTTTCTAGATAATGCTGCCTTCAAGGAATGAGTCTGACAGTGTTCCTTTCCATTCAATTTTATAGAAAAATTTGAGAAGTATTGGTGTTAATTTTCTGAATTTCTGGTGAAATTCAGTGGTGAATCCACCAAGTTCTGGACTTTAAATTTGTTGGTAGAATTTTTAATTACTGCCTCAATTTCATTGCCTATTATTGGCTAGTCAAAGATGTCTATCTTCTTGGTCCAATTTCAGTAAGTTGTATGTTTCTAGGAATTTATCCATTTCTTCTAGATTTTCCAGTGTATTGGAATATAACTTTTCAAACTAATGTTATATATTCTTGTGAATTTCAGCAGTGCCTCCCATTTATCCTTCTTCATATATAATTGCAGTAATATGGATGTTTTCTGGTAGGTTTGGTTAAGAGGTTATTGATCTTTATCCTCACAAAGAGCTAACTCTTTTAAGCATTGATCTTTTGTATTTTTATTTTTGTCTCAATTTCATTGGCTTCCACTGTGATCTTTATAATTTCTTTCCTTCTACAAGTTTTGGATTTGGATTCCTTTTATTTTTTTAGAACCTTGAGATGTATCATTAGGTTATTTATTTTGCAACGCTACATTTTTCTAATGTAGCTGCTCAAAGCTATAAATTTCCCTATTACAGCTGCTTTCAGTGTGATGCGCAGGTTTTGGTATGTTTTACTGCCATTGTCATTTCATTCTTGTAACCTTGAAATTTCTTCCAATTTCTTCAGTCCACTGCTTCTTTAGGAATATATTAATCTTCATGTTTGCATAGTTTTGTGGTTTCTTTTGCTGTTGATTTCTAGCTTTAGTTTCATTCCATAGTGATCTGATGGGTTGCAAAAAGGTATTTCAACTCTTTTGTACTTATTAAAAATGCCTTATGGCCAAACATGTGGTCTCTTTTGGACAAAGTTCTGTAGACTACTGAGAGTGTATATTCTTTTGTTGAATGAATTACTGCATAGATATCTGTTTAGTCCAGTGTGTGTTCAGTGGTGTGGTTAAACTCTAATATTTCTTTGTTTAGTTTTTGCTTGATTGACCTATTTATTAGAGGGGGTTTTAAATACCTGACTATGATTATATTAGCGTCTATTTGTCCTCTTATGTCAAGAAATTTTTGTTTTATGAAATTGGGTATGCTGACATTTGATGCATATATATTTACAATTGTTACCTCTTCTTTACCAATATGTAGTGACCTAATTTGTCTCTTCTAATCAGTCTTAGCTTGAAGTCTACCTTATCTGAAATTAGGATAGTTAGGTCTGGTTTCTTTTGGTCTCTTTACTCCATTTGCATGGAGTATCATTTTCTATCTTTTGACATTCAGTCTGTGTTTCTTTATGGGTAAGGTATTTCTCTTCCAGGCAACATATGTTTGAGTTTTATTTTTTGATCCAATCTACCAGTCAGTGTCTTTTGATAAATGAGTTACCACCATTTACATTGAGTGTTGTTATTGAAAGGTATTTACTGATTATTAACACTCTAATATTTTTTTAGTGGTGAATCCTTTCTATTTTGCTTTAGTTTAATTATTCTTGCAGTTAGAGTTAGATGTAGTCTTTCCTTTGGGCTCTTTGGTAATTTTGGCCTTACTGTCTGTTTATAATTTCTTCAATTATTTTCTGCAATGCTTGTTTAGTGGTCATGAATTTTTTAATATTCTTTTTAGGTTTTTGTTTCTTTGGCAATTTTAAGGCATGATTTTGCAGGATATGCTAATCAGGACTGGAAATTGTTTTCTCCTAGGACTTGAAAAACTTCATTTCAAGTTCTCCAGGTCTTTAAGGTTTGTGTTTGGAAATTGGAAAGCAGATATATTTTTGAGCTTTCTGATTGTAGAAGGAAAGCTTCTCATGTTTTCCTATTTAATTATGTTATTTTTATACATTCCTAAATTTAAAAATATTTTCCTCTGATTTTGAAATAGCAGAGTAAAATGTCACAATGTAGAAATTTTTAAAGTTCTGAAAGTTCACTCATTCTTGGAGATAAACATTATTTGTATTTTGAAATTGATTATTGACTGTTCCTTTAATACTTTTTCAAAAATGTCACTGGGTAGACATTGTCTATATTATTAAAATAGGAAGCAAAACCAATGTTTTATCACCTCAGATAAATTGAAATTTTATTAGTTACCAAACATTTTGAAATGTACTATTTCTGGGAATTTGATGATTATTTTAATATGTGCTTTTTTGTTTTGAATTTTAGGTTGGTTTTGTCCTGTACCCCCCTAGTGGTGGTCCTGCATGGGATCTGACTAATCATGACAACATTATGTTTCTCACCATATGCTTTTGTTGGCATTATGCATTGGCCTATATCATCATTGGAGTGAATTATGCTTTTGTCACCTGGTAAGTTAGTGAATTTTGTTTATGGAAAAAGATGCATTCTTTATTCATTCATTCATATACATATGATCACCAAGAATCAATATTATTAAACTTAAAATTCTAAAGCTGACTTCATTCCTTACTTCAAAAGACAGGATAGTATAGGTTAATATTATCTGCAAACATTGTCAGTAAAAAGAATGTATGCTGTTTGAAATTAGAAAAGCTGAATGGTGTTTCTGCTGTGCCTCTGATCCATCAATCATCCTCATCATCCTCTTCCATGCCATCAAATCTTCTTGGTATGATATTTTCACTTCTGAATGACCTACCCCAGCCTGTAGTGAGTCTTCACTTACTCATGTGAACATATTCCATGTACAGTAGTCCCTAAGCTTTGAGCCAATATTTCACAAACTCCTTTGACATCCATTAAATTTGAGTACCTGATAATTTTGACATTAATTCTACTATTTCTAAAAGTTATATGGTACATTTTTATAAGATTTCTGATTCAATATTCCATTAGCAAGTGATAAACAGTCAACAAATTGATAAGAACATATATGCCAAGGTCTGTTGCATATTGGCTGTATTACTCCAAGATAACTATTTAACCACAGTAAGTTTCAATTTTGCTGTTTGTAAAATTAGGATAATGATAGTATCTTAAATGAGAGCATGCATTTAAACTGTTTAAAACATCATAAGAACTCAATAAACATTACCATCTCCTTTTTGTTGTTGTTCTCCTTCCCTGCTTTTTTCTTCACCTTTCTCTTTGGGATAAAAATTGAGGTTTGGATCTTATTCATGAAGAATTTTTAGTTCTGTAGTTAAAACTAACTTAGAAAAATATACAACTAAAATTCAGAGCGATTAATAGAAATAGTAGAAGAATAAAACATTGCTAGATCTTGGGGAATGTTCTTCAGAATTGAAAATTAAGCTACATCTTGGAAGATAAGCAGTACTAAAAAAGGATAACCATTGTTCCTCTCTCTAAGGTATCTAGTGCCAAAATTATAAATTTAGGCTGTTCCAATTACCAGGTATAAGACTCCAGCACCTAATCCTCCAAACTTCAATTCTGATTGAATGTCCTGTATCTGCAATGTTTTATATATACAGTATTCAACATGGCAGCCACTTGCAACTGAGCATTTGAAATCGGGCTAGTATCACATTAATTTTTGTTTACATTAATTTAAATATCCATATGCAAATAATAGCTACTATATATGACACTACACATCTAGCAGGTTCTCCAGATTCTTAAAAGACAGGAGCTGCTTCTAGGCCTACTAGGGTCTCAGCTTCTGTTGGAACCAGCTTTCACTCTCTCTAGACATGAACCACAAGTCACCCCTTCTGCTTAAGGTCTTTGTGCTTTGTGACCTAGCCTGCTCTGGCACTGGAGCTCTGACTTGAGAAACTATTCTCTTAGCTAATTCCTAGATGTCACTGCTAGGCTTTGGGTTAACCCATCTTAATCTGTGGCTGTCTTCTTATAAAGATCTAAATTGCTTTGGTTGTCAAAAATCTCTGCCTTCTCAATGCCTCAGTTCTACTTACTGCTATTCTATTCTGCAAAAGCATGTGCATAAGCTCATTGTCAAGGCCTTCTCTGCCATTGAGTGAAACTTGACTTCTCCTGTTCTTCTAGGCTGACATCTGGGCAGCCTTCAGGAATAGTACCAGAATTCAAGGAAACACTCTCCCCATTGTCAGATCCCCTCCAGAGCCAGAAGACTATGTTCTCTTCCTATTTTAAAAACCTCCTGAAGATTGATTTACCTTTTATTCATGTACAGTTCTCTAGAAACTGGAAATTCCATTCTTATTTTTAAATCTCCCTGACCCACCACATGTCATTCTAATCTTTGCGACCAGGCATTCCTCTCTATTGGGTCTATCCATATTAAATGCAAACATCTTCTATAAAAGCTTTTATGATTTCTCTAGCCTTTTTTCATCTCTCTTCCTAAGCTTTATTGAATTTTTGTATCCACCAGATATTTAAACAGTTGAGGACTGTCTTGTAATGTTGACTATTAGGTCACATGTATTAGTCTTATCTACTACTAAATTTTTGTCTCCTTCTGAAAGAGACCTTTTTCATGGTACCACACATACTATCACACTGCCAATGTGAAAGTATTTCTCAATAAACATTTGTTGCCCATTTTAATAAATCTGTGCTTCAGGAGTACTAATGCTTTCTGGTTTCACTCATATTGCTTTTCGCAAGATAAGACCAAGAGTTCAACCTTTCTGACATATTTTGATATAAACTTAAACAATAGCTTTAAAATGTTATGAATATTCAGTACTGCTCTTCACTGAGTTCACATAACTAGCTCTTTCAGTTCTGAATTTCAGGCCAAGGAGCTGTAAAAATTTGCTGATTGGAATTTAATCATGTAGCAGTTTGTAAGGAATCCACTGTGATTAAGTGTCAGCATATTATATCAAAATTTGTTTGACATAGTACTAAGATCCTCATTGACATATAAGAAGTTATGAAACTATTGCTTCTGAAATATCTGAAACATAAAGTTGTATTTCCCAACTTTTCAGAGTCATAGTTGAAAGATTGCCTCATGTAGTCCCATGCTTGTATGTGTTGATTATCTCTTCATCTATTAGTCAGAGGTGAAGAGCTGGGGATTTAGCTCAGTGGTTCCACCTCCTGCTTTGCAGGCACAAGGTCCTGAGTTCTATCCCAGGTACCCCCCACCAAAAAATTAAAAAGAAATCTGTATTAGTCAGAGGTGACATCTATCTGTGGAAATATTATTATGTACTTATACTGTATTTCACATTTAAACACTGGTGTTGCTTAAAACTATTTCAGAAGCCTTCCTTTTATGAGTAGGAAATGTTATCTATTTACAGATGTATTTTTGAATCGATGATGTGAACATTTTTAGTAACACATAGGGAAGTCCAAATGCTAGGCATATGATAGTTTCCTGGAAGTGTATCAAATACCTCAGATCTGGTTTTTGTTAGAATAAATGAAAAAAATGTGAGATCAAGGGCACAGACATGCCTGGACCCTATTTCCAGGGGTTGTTTCATTTTAATAACTAACCATTATTTATAATTTCTCTTTATTACCTGAGATCTCAAATTGTCCTCAGTGGTCATTTCTACATAGCAAAACTTAGAGCTGCAATGGCAGACAGAGCCTCATAAAGATGTCTGAATGTGTCTCAGCTTGATGTCTGTCACAACAGATATATCTTAGGGAAGAGGAATGGGAAACGGAAGCCATTAGGGTCTGTGTTAATTATTTTATAATAAGTAGCCATGAATTGTTTTACTAACCACAAAAATCTTCAGGAATAAAAGTAACCAATTAAGTAATTAATCCATTACATTTTACCTGTATGCAACTTGTATAATGTGGAAATAACATATGGAGGACTTGGGGGCTTTGTTTGTTTGTTTATTTATTTATTTTGAGACAGAGTCTTGCTATGTAGTTTAGGCTGGCCTTCAACTCACTATGTAGCCTAGACTAGTCTTGAACTCCCACATAGAATCTTCTTACCTCAGCCTCCTGAATGTTGAGATTAAAAGCATCTGCCACCATTCTTGACCTAATATTTTGGGTTTTTTATGCTATTTTAAAATAGCATTTTATTTTCCCAAAGAGTTTTTTCATTAAGTTTATTGGTACCTTTTAGGTATATGGTATGGTTATATTCATCATTGGAATCTTGCACTTTACGTGATATATCTTGGTTCTTATTTTTTCCCCATTTCCCTGCCCTCCCGTCATCCCCTCCACCCTTCCCTATTTACAGACTTTGTTTCCATTTTTTCCTTTTCTCATATTTTTTCTTTTCCCTTCTTTCCTTCTCCTACACTACCCATTTCACCTACTCCTTTAGACCTTTTCTTCCTATTTCAAGTTATCAATTATATAATTTAAACCTTATTTACACTTTTAGTTTTTCACACCAGAGAAATTGTTTGGTATTTACACATGTGTGTCCTATTTATTTCACTTAAGAGTATGGCCTCAATGTACATCCATTCAGCTATACATGTCTTTAGTTTCTTGTTCTTTATGACTGAGTAGTACTCCATTTTATTTTTTAAAAAATCTTTATCCAGTCATCAGTTGATGGGCAGTTGGGCTGTTTTCAAGTTTTAGCTATTACAAACTGTGCTGCTACAAGGATGAGCATATATCACTGTGGTATGATTCTTTTAATTTTTACGGAAAGATACCTAGTGGCAGGATAGCTGGGTCAAATGGGACATCTAATCCTAGTTGATTCAGATATGTCTATATTGATTTCCACAGTGATTACACTAGTCTTCACTCTAATTTCTTCTTTAATATCCTCTGTGACCCACTGGTTGTTCAGGAGAGTGTTATTCAATGTACATGTGTTTGTGAAGTTCTTGCAGTTTCTAATGCTATTGATCTCCAGCTTAATTGCACATATACAGGGGATAAGTTCAATTCTTTACATTTACTATGGTCCTTTTTGCAGAATGACCCATGTACAGCTCTAAATAATGTATATTCTGATTTTGTGGGGTGGAACACTGTAGACATGTATTAAGTCCATTGTTCACAATCTTGGTTCAATTCCAATATTTCATTGTTGATTTTTTATCTAGATGATCTGCTTATTTGTGACAGTGGAGTGTTGAGGTCCTCCACTATAATTGTACTAGTGCTTATTTGGTTTTTCATGTCCTTTAATATTTGTTTTGTAGACCTGAGGGCATAAGTATTTTGTGCATATATATATCTATGATTGTCATCTCTTATGCTTGGTTGTTCCCTTTACAAGGATGTAGCGACCTCTCTTAATTAGTTTTGGTTTGAAATTTACTTTGCCTATAAGATAGGTACATCTCTTTTGTTTTTTTCTTTGTTTGTTTATTTGTTTTTTTGTTGTTGTTGTTGTTTTTGCATTCCTGTCACAAGGAGAACTACTTTTCAACCTTTTATATTCAGGTTATGAGTTTCTTTTTGAACTTGGTGCATTTTCTGTATACAGCATACTTTTGGATTTTGCTTCTTACTTCAGTCTGACATTCTACTTCTTTTGATTGGTGAATTGAAGTATTTACATTGATGGGTATAACTGATATGTAATGACTAATCATTGTTATGTAATTTTTCAGTTGTTGGCTCTTTTTAATTTTTCCTTCTCTCCCTTTAATTTCTTGCCTTGCCCAATGGGCTTGCTCTGTTGGGCCTCGTGGAGTTATGACCTTCTTTGTGTTTTTCCAGGATATTATTTAGAATTGTTTGGAGTGCTGGTTTCATATTCATGAAATTTCTTAGGTATTCATTATCATGGAAGTATCTTATTTCCCCATCAATTTCAAAAGATAGTTTTGCAGGATACATTAGTTTAGGTTGGAGGTTGTCTTGTTTTAGGGCTTGAAATACCTCACACCAGGCTTTCCTTTACCTGAGGGTTTGTGTTGAAAAGTTTGCTGTGATTCTGATTGTATTTTTTTTTAAATCATGAGTAGTTGGAATCCTATATGCCTCACTTAACTGTATGTTAAGTTCTTCTCACTTAACTGTATGTTAAGTTCTTTTGCTTTGTTTGGAAAGTTTTGTGTCATTAAATCTGGGAATGGGGTTTTTTTTTTAATGTCATTTGTATGTTCTCCTGGACTCCTGTTAGTCTTGTGTTATTCTTCTTTGTAACATGTAAGAGCTGCTGGATTGATTTCTAATGCTCCCTTACTATTTTTAAGAGATCTCTCTTTTCATGGTCACTGACCACCATCCTAACTTCTATATCTGGTATTCTGTCCAGGTTGGCTCAGTCTGTTATGTATACTTTCAACGGAGTTTTTAATCTCCTATGTATCTGTTTGAATCTGTTTCATGGATTCCACTTCTTTCCTATGTGGAGTATTCAAGGTTTCCATTTTTTTCCTATGCTGGGCATTCATGGCTTCTATCATGGTCCTGAACTCATCTATTTTTTAAAAAAATTGTTTGTGTTCTAGTCCCTATTCATTTCTTTCATTCTGTTCACCCTTTCTCTAGTTATATGAGAAATTATTTCTGTTTTGAGTTTGTCTAGAGCTTCATACATCTGTTTTGTTACTTCCTGCACTATCAGCTCAAGGTGTCCAGGTGGTTGACTATCAGAGCTTTCTGCCTTTTTTCCCCCAGAATTTGCTATTGGTGTGCTGGAAGTCTGTGTTTGTGCCTTGCTTAAATGTCTTCTCATTTCTGTTTTTGTTATTGGTACTATCCTTGGTTTAATTCCCCAGTTAATACTTTGATCTTCCGTTTTTTCTTTCTTTTTTTTTTTTTTTTTTTTTTTTTTTTTTTGCGCCAGGGATTGAACTTGGGTCCTTGCACTTGCAAGGCAGGCCACTGAACTGCTGAGCTAAATCCCCAGCCCAACTTTGATCTTCCTTATGTAGCTGGTCTTTAGGTTTTGAGTCTCTCATGACTCTGATGTAATCTCATTTTCTTTATAACAAGAAGGACAACTAATTAGATCAATAACAACACCTTAGCCCAAGTGATAATTCCACAACACAATAGCATCAAGCAAAGCTTATAAACTGACAATTTGTGGGTGCCTTTATTGCAGATTCCCTTCACTTTTCCAGTGGGCTTCAATTTTCAAGGAGCCTGACAGAGGCTCTCTTTATGTTGTTCACTTCTGCTTTATCTTCTGGAGCTCAGGAAAATGACCTTTATGATATCCTGTGCCTCTGTGGTTTGTATTCAGGTGCTGTCATGGCCAGGAGGTCAGAGGCAGTGGAACTCAGGTGGTTTTGCAGGCATCTTTGTGGCTCTACTCACACTGCTTGGAGGCCATGGGGTTTGGGGGTGGGGGTAGCAGCTCAGCTCCATGTGGCTCCACTTCTCACAGGTCTGCTTGCACTGCCTAACATTTGTTTTTTAAAAGAGGACACACATGCTCTTCAGTCTTTGACATATTAGAGAGTACTAGCTTTTCATGAGAACCATAGCTTAAAGGTTTGAGGACATTGGGTTCAACACTGATAGTCAATTAATAATTAGGGAAAAGAATTTTGAGCCTTTTCTCTTGGCCCTTAAATTAGATTTTATTGATACTGTTTAGCTATTGTTTTATGGAAGAATTAATGCTGAATTGCAAGTGATTCAAGAATTAGCCTCTGGGGCTGGGGATTTAGCTCAGTGGTTCCACTGCCTGCCTTGCAAGCCCAAGGACCCAAGTTCAATCCCCAATACCAAAACAAAATAAAACAAAACAACCAAAAAAACCAAAAACAAGACAAAAAGAATTAGCCTCTATGAAAATGTGACTTCTGGCAGATTTTACCAAGTAAGTAATGTCAAATATGTGTGGAACCACTATTATGTACCAAACATTGATCTAGATTCTGGCTGTAGTTAGGGTAGCAAATAAGGTGAAGTTCCTGCTCTTATAAAGTCTAAGTGGGGCTTAGAGCACATGTGAAGTCATGACATTCTGATAAGGACAGTCAGAATTTCATTAGAAGAAAAAATAAGAAATTTCTTTATGAGTCTTTAGTTGTTAATTTGTGGTCAAATAAAACAAAATTACCTGACAGTACTAGGAGAAGGAGAAGGAGAGGGAAAGAGAGAGAGAGTAAAGACAGAAAATAGAAATAAAGATCCAGGTAGACTAGGAAAGATTTACCTAAAAGGAAAATCATTTTTATTTGCTTTATCAAATTTGTTTCTATATCTGTATGCATCTCTGGAAATTGTTTTGTTGATATAATCATGGTAAAATTATGATCATGAATAGGAAAAGTTTTACATAGTTCTTTTTATTACTCATTTTTTTCTCGTATCAGAGAAATAGAGTTGGATGAGTTTTTGTCTCTACACAGCTTCAGATAGTCCAGTCTCAAAAATTATAATCCCCATTCTGTCAAATATAGTTAGTTTCTCTTAAACTATGAAAATGGCCACAGAATGGAGGACACCTTTCTGTACTTCTTGGAATGGGCCACCATGCGTTGTTGAGCAGCCTGTGCCCTACACTAAAAAGGCTGTGCCTTTCCACCAAGTAGAGGCTAGAATTGAGTCCAGACTTGATATGAGACTTGTCTTGGACTGCCAGTCTTAGAGAAGTTGCTTTTCTGCTTTTCTTTTATAGGAGACAATATCTTTGAGCAAGACCAGTTAGGTGTGGTTTTAATGAACAAATTCGCGAGATCCCAATCACATTTAGGATTACTACAGCCTAGAGTTTCTCTTGTTTATTCAAGAAATGCTAAATGTTGTTTGCTGATGCCTAATTAACAATCACATAGCCAAGAATGGTGGTACATTTCTATAACCTTACCTTTGTGAGAGGCTGAGATGGGAGGATTGTGAGTTCAAGGCTAACTGGACAATATTGTGACCTGTATAAAAACAAAAAAATCAAAGAATATATTTCAAAGCTGTATTTTATCTATTTACTTATACCATGTTTTCATTTACAAAAAAAAAATCAGCTAGCTCCAAAGCCACATAAAAATGATTTTGTTTTTTGGGTTGTCACCCCTATTTACACACAAAAAATCTGGATTTTGTTGCATTATAGTTGAATATTAAGTTCTCATTTTAGACATCATCTAACATGAGATGATTTTTTTCCTTAGGTTGGTAAAATCTAGACTTAGGAGACTCTGCTCCTCAGAAATTGGACTCTTGAAAAATGCTGAAAGAGAACATGAATCAGAAGAGGAGATGTAATTTTCATGGGCATCCATTCTATTAAGATAAACATTATTCTTTTTGCATTGTCTTTGCTCATTATTTTCTTTCTTGCCCAATTGAAAAACAACTGGCCGAAGATGACTATATAATGCTTGTATTTTCAATTGTGTTGAAATATTTGAATTTGAATATTTTATTTTTAGCTTTGAAATACTTTGAGTGATAAGTTAAATTTGCATATCATTGTATTCAGAGTCTAGACTGACTTTTCCAACATTAGCCATAGTTTGAGGATTGTACTATGAAAAATGTTTATTTGCCTTAAGGATATGGCCAATGTTATTAAACATAGAATTATATTTGTTTATGTTTATGCTGCAAAGAGAAATAAATGAAGGCATATGAGTTGGCACAGAAACCTCAAATCTTTGATTTTGTTGTTCAAATATACCTAACCCTTTCATAATGCAGACACAGTTGCATAACACAGAGATCCTTTTCTGTTAGACATTCCTAACAGGAGTATCTGAATTCTGCCAAAAGAAAAGTAGATGAGCAACCTTACTGAAGAGCATGAGGAGGATGACCCTCAATATATGTGATGGCAAAGCCAACAGAGACAGTGTTAACAATATTTTCCGTAAGAGTAAAAAGTTATATCATGTCCTAGCCATCATGCCAGTTTCTCTGTTCAAGTAGATAAAGGGTTAAAACAAGGAAAAAACTTACAGAATCCCTAAATAAAATGTCAAATCTTCACTTAGCTTGTGGACAAAGTAGTTCCCAGTGGAGAATCAGGCAATCTTGGTGCTAATTCTAGGTCTATCATTAACCAGCCACCACATCTCTAGTAATCAGCATGTTCTTCTCTCTAACATGAGAGAATTGAATTAAGTGACTCATGGGTCCCTTTCTTGGCTGTCACATTTTTTTCAGCTTTAATTGAGTTTATTGGTACATTTTAGGGATACAGTACAGTTACGTTCATTGTTGGGATCTTGTACCTCTACATGACAAGTCTTGATTCTCATTTTTTCCCCTTACTTGGCTGTCATATTTTTAAAAGTCTCAAAATGGAACATATGGACAGGTAGAAAGTCTAGTCTCTACCTGAGAAAGGAAGAAAGACTGCAAGCATCCTGAGGAATGACCCACATGTGGAGAAAAGGAGTTGACCTTGTGGGCAGCTGCAACTGTCACATGGAGCTGTTAAACCCCAAGGTTCCCTGGCATTCCAAAGCACTAACAGTTCCAGAAAATGCTCCATCTAGTACTCATTACAGTGACACTGAAGAGAAAGGTGAGCAGATTCTTTGAGCCCAAGAACTGGATACATTCATTTATTTATATGAGATTTGAAAAAAGCAGATATAGATACACAAGTGTTTACCTTGAACAATGCAATAAATGTTCATTTTCACATAAGAACATGCCTATACACCATGGTCCTCTGGAATTCATGTTCTCTAAGCCACGTGTGTTCAGTATCTGAGGGCTATTCTAGTCCAGAAATATTCTATGATTCTGGCAAATATGAGTTTCAAAGGAATGAGTGAGAATTCAGCTGCAGTTACTTGAAACTAGAGTTGCTGGTGTCAAGGTCTGAGTAGCGACCTTAGAAATTACTAGTATGAAGGGGAAGTGGAAAGGGTAGGGGAAAAGAAATAAGGGACAAGAAAAAATATGGGAAAAGGAAAAAATGGAAACAAAGTCTTTGTATATAGGGGAGGGGGATGGAAATGGATAGCAGGGGAATGGGGAAAAAATGAGAACCAAGATCTGTCATATAAAGGCACAAGATCCCAATGATGAATGTAACTATACTCTATACTTAAAAGGTACCAATGAACTCAATAAGATAAAAAAATAAATTACTAGTATGAGTCACATTAAGCCTGGGATTTTGAAGACTAATATATATTAATATTCTTAAGTGCCTTAGAGAGCAGAAATGCTCACTTCTCCAGTCTCTGCACAGAGAATACAAGGAAAATGCAACCTAGTGAGTTATCACACAGGACTACTTGGTTCAGGTCTAAAAACACAGTTTGGGGATATCTGCTTCCAGTTCTTAAAATAAGTTTTAGAACTTGTTGTAAATTTAGTTATATTGCTGGATTGTATTTTACTGCTATGATTTTTTATTGTTTTTTTCATTTTTCCCCTTGTTCCTGCCCTCCCTTCACCCCCTCCTCCCCTCCCCATTTATAAACACTTTATTTCCATTTTTTCATTTTCTCATATTTTTTGTTTGCCCTTATTACCTCTCCTCTACCTTTCCCACTTTCCCTACACCTTTAGCCCTTTTATTCCTATTTCAAATTGTCAATTATCTCATTAGGATCTTATATGCTTTAATAATTTTTCACACCAGAGAAACTATTGGGTATTTACACATGTGTGACTTATTTATTTCACTTAAGAGTATATCTTCAATATGTATCCATTTTCCTACAAATGACTCTAATTTCTCATTCTTTATGGCTGAGTAGTATTCAATTTTATAGAAAAATGATATCTTCTTTATCCAGTTTTCAACTGATGGGCAAAAGGGCTGTTTCCAAGTTTTAGTTATTACAAACTATGCCACTATAAACATAGGCACACATATATATCTGTGATATGATTCTTTTAATTCTTTTGGAAAGATACCCAGCAGAGGGATGGCTGGGTCAAATGGAAACTGTAGTCCCAGCACAACTATGATTTTTTAAAATATTTTTTCCAGCTTTGAGTTTATTGGTACATTTTAGGGATACAGTACAGTTACATTCATTATTGGGATCTTGTACCTCTACATGACAAGTCTTGGTTCTCATTTTTTCCCCTTCTCCCTGCCCTCCCTTCACCCCTTCCTCCCCTCCCCAACTACAAACACTTTACTTCCATCTTTTCATTATATCACATTTTTTCCTTTTCCCTTATTAACCTTCCCTTACCCAACCCACCTTCCCTACACCTTTAGCTCCTTTCTTCCCATTTCTAAATGTCAGTAATCTTATTAGAATCTTATGCATTGTTGCAGATTATTTACACAAGGGAAACTATTTGATATTTACACATGTGTGCCTTATTTATTTCACTTAGGAGTATATATTCAATATGTATCCATTTTCCTATGAATGAATCTATTTTCTCATTCTTTATGGCTGAGTAATATTCCATTTTATAGAAAAACCACATCTTCTTTATCCAGTTTCCAACGGATGGGCAAATAGGCTGTTTCCAAGTTTTGGCTATTACAAACAGTGCCACTATAAACATGGGTGCACATACTTCTCTGTGATATGATTCTTTTAGTTCTTTTGGAAAGATACCCAGCAGAGGGATGACTGGGTCAAATGGAACCTTCAGTCCAAGCTCTTTGAGCTATCTCCATATTGAATTCCATAGTGGTTGCACCAGCCTGCACTAACACCAACAATGGAGATGGATTCCTTTCTCCCCACAACCCACCAGCATTTGTTATTGTGTGATTTCTTGATAGCAGCCATTCTTTGTGGGGTGACGTGGAATCTCAGTGTTGTTTTCATCTGCATCTCTTGAATGATCAGTGATGTGGAACATTTTTTCATATATTTACTTGCTGTTTTGATTTCTTTGTCTAATAAATATCTGTTCATTTCGGATGCCCATTTTTGAATCGGGTCTCTATATTTGGGGGTGCTGATTGTTTTGAGTTCTTTATATATCCTTGATAATAGTCCTTTGTCTGAGGAACAGCTGGTAAAACTTTTTCCCACATTGTAGGTTGTCTCTTAGTTCTGCTGATGGTTTCTTTTGAAGTAAGGAAGCTTTTTAGTAAGATGAGAACCCAGTTGTTGATTCTATCTGCTAGTAGATGCTACTGAGGATTTGTTCATAAAGTCTTTTCCTATGCCAATATATTCCAGAGTTCTGCCTAACTTACCTTCCAGCAAGTTTAGTCTTTCCATTTTGTTATTTAGATCTTTAATCCATTTGGATTTTAATTTAGTGCATGGTGAAAGATAACGGTCCAGTTTTAATCTGTGGCAGGTTGAAATCCAATTTTTCCAACACCATTTATTAAAGAGGCTATCTTTCCTCCACTGAGGATAGCCAGCTCCTTTGTCAAAGATGAGGTGGCTGAGTACATCTGGGTTTGTTTTTGTGTCTTCCAGTCTGTTCCACTGATCCTCAGGCCTGTTTCTTTGGCAGTACCATGCTGTTTTTATCACAGTGGCTTTGTAGTATAGCTTCAAGTTGGGAATTCTTATATCCACTGCCATGTGTCTGTTGCCTAGAATGGCTTTTGCTATTCTAGGTCTCTTATGGTTCCAATTGAAATTTTGGATTCTTTTTTCTAGTTCTGTGAAATATAGTGTTGGAATTTCAATTGACATTGCATTGAATGTATATAGCAGTTTTGGTAGTATGGCCATTTTCACTATGTTGATTCTTCCTACCCAGGAGCAGGGGATATCTTTCCAGTTTTAAATATCCTCTTCCATTTCTTTTTTCAGAGTGCTGTAAATTTCAGTGTAGAGATCTTTTGCTTCTTCTGTTAGATTGATTCCTAGATACTTCATTTTTTGGGATGCTATTGTAAAAGGAATTTTTTCCCTTATTTCTCTCTTAGTGAGTCTGTTTTTTTGTGTATAAGAAGGCTATTGATTTTTGGGTGTTCACCTTGTATTCAGGTACTCTACTGAATCTGTCAATTGAGTCTAGAAGTCTTTTGGTGGAGTTTTTTGGGTCTTCAATGTAGAATATCATATCATCAGCAAATAATGACAGTTTAACTTCTTCCTTTCCTATCTTTATTGCTTTAATTTCTTTCTCCTGTCTAATTGCTGTGGCTAATATTTCCAGAACTATATTAAAGAGGAGTGGTGATAATGGGCATCCGTGTCTTGTTCCTGATTTTAACATGAAGGTTTTCAGTTTTTGGCCATTTAATATGATGTTGGCTGTTGGTTTTTCATAGATAGCCTTTATTAAGTTGAGGTATAGACCATCTATTCCAATTTTTTGCAGGGTTTTTATCATGAATGGGTGTGGAATTTTATCAAATGCTTTTTCTCCATCTGTTGAGAGGATCAAATGGTTTTTGTCCTTGACTTTGTTAATATAGTGTATTATATTTATTGACTTTTGTATGTTGAACCACCCTTGCATATCTGGAATAAATCCGACTTGGTCAGGATGGATGATCTTCTTGGTAATCCTCTGTATTCTGTTTGCTAGTATCTTTCTAAGGATTTTTGCATCTATATTCATTAAGGAGATTGGTCTGTAGTTCTCCTTTTTAGTTTCATCTTTCCCTGGTTTGGGAATCAAAGTGATACTTGCTTCCAGGAATGAATTTGGAAGTATAGCTTCTCTTTCAATTTCATTGAAAAGTTTGAAGAATAATGGCAGTAGTTCTTCTCTAAATGGCTTGGAAAATTCAGCAGTGAATCCATAAGAGCCTGGGCTTTTCTTTGTTGGTAAATTTTTTTTCAGCTTTAATTGAGTTTATTGGTACATTTTAGGGATACAGTACAGTTACATTCATTGTTGAAATCTTGTACCTCTACATGACAAGTCTTGATTCTCATTTTTTCCCCTTACCTCTGCCCTCCCTTCACCCACTCCTCCCCTCCCCATCTACAAACACTTTATTTTCATCTTTTCATTCTCTCACATTTTTAATTACATTTTCAATTTCACTGACTGTAATTGGGGTGTTTAAAATGTTTTTATCTTCTTTGTTCAACTTTGGTAATTCGTAAGTATCTAAAAATCTGTCCATTTCTTCTGTGTTTTCCATTTTATTGGAGTACAGGTTCTCAAAGTAGGTATTCATGATCCTCTGGATTTCTTTTAGATCTATTGTGACTTCGCCTTTTTCATTTCTGATTGCATGGATCTGAGCCTTTTCTTTCCTTTTTTTGATAAGATTAGCTAAGGGTTTGTTGATTTTATTTACTCTTTCAAAAAACCAGCCCTTTGTTTCATTTATTTTTTGTATCATTTTCTTAATTTCTATTACTTTGATTTCTGCTTGGGTCTTTATAATTTCCTCTCTTGTTCTAGCTTTGGGTTTTTCTTCCTCTTGTTTTTCTAGGAGTCTAAGTTTCATCATTAGGTTGTTTATTTGAGCCTGCTCTGTTTTCCTAGTGTGGGCATTCAATGTTATGAATTTTTCCCATAGAACTGCTTTCATTGTGTCCCATAGATTCCTGTGTGTTGTATTGGCATTTTTGTTTATTTGTAAAAACTGTCTAATTTCTTCTTTAATTTCCTCTGTAATCCATTGATTGTTTAGGAGAGTGTTGTTCAGTTTCCATGTGCTTGTGAAGTTCCTACCATTTTTTGTGCTATTGATCTCCAGCTTGATTGCAGTATGATGTGATAATATATAGGGGATGACTTGAATTCTTTTGCATTTATTCAGAGCTGTTCTGTGAGCCAATATGTGGTCTATCTTGGAGAATAATCCATGTGCAGCTGAAAAGAATGTATCTTCTGATTTTGTGGGGAGGAGTACTCTGTAAACATCTATTAAGTCCATGTGTTCCAAAGCTTGGTTCAGTTCTAGTTTTTTATTGTTCATTTTCTGCCTAGATGATATGTCAATTTGTGATAGTGGGGTATTTAAATCCCCCACTACAAGTGTATTAGTGCTTATTTGGTTTTTCATGTTACTTAATATTTGTTTTATATAGTTGGGGGCATTTATATTTGGTGCATATGTTTATGATTGTCAACTCTTCCTCTTGAACTGTTCCCTTTACAAGGATGTAGTGTCCTTTGTCTCTCTTAATGAGTTTTGGTTTGAAATTTACTTCTTGAATAAGACTGCTACCCCTGCTTTTTCTGGGCTCCTGACGCATGGAGAATTATTTTCTATCCTTTCACTTTCAGTCTATGGGCTTCCTTTTGCACAAAGTGTGTTTCTTGTATACAACATATTGTTGGATTTGCTTCTTAATCCATTCTGCCAGTCTATTTCTCTTGATTGGTGAGTTGAGGCCATTAACATTGATGGTCATAACTGATATATTTTGACTTATTATTGTCATGTTATTGTCCTTTTGTTGACTCTTTTTACTTTTTCTCCCCTCTCCTTTTAGTTTCTTGCCTTGCCTATTTGATTTGGTCTGTTGAGCTTCATGGTATTGTATCCTCCATTGTCCTTTTCTAGGATATTGTTTAGAATTCCTTGTAGTGCTGGTTTGGTGTTCATGAAATTTCTCAGGAGTTCTTTGCCGTGGAAGTATCTTATTTCCCCATCTATTTTCAAAGAGAGTTTTGCAGGATACATCAGTCTAGGTTGGAGGTTATTTTCTTTTAGGACTTGAAGTACCTCACTCCAGGCTCCCCTTGACCTAAGGGTTTGTGTTGAAAAGTCTGCTGTGATTCTGTTGGGCTTTCCTTTGAATGTGATTTGTTTCTTTGCTCTTACTGCTTGTAGTATTTTGTTTTTCTGTTCGATTTCTGGGATCTTGATTATTATATGTCTAGGTGTAGATTTTTTTTTTCATGGCTAGTTGGAGTTATATATGCCTCACTTATCTGTATGTCTAATTTTTCCCTTCTGTTTGGGAAGTTTTGTCATTAATTTTGTGAAGAACTTTTTTAAGTCATTTGTGTTTTCTCCTGCTATTTCAGGAATTTCTGAAACATAATCAGTCTTATTTTATTTTTCTTTGCATCATCTAGAAGTTGCTGGATTGATTTCTCATCATCCCTTACTGTTTTTTGAGAGACCTCTTTTTTCACGGTCACTGACTGTGATCCTATTTTCTATATCTATCCTTTCTAGCCCAGAAAAATTCTATCTTCACAATCTTTTATTCTGTTGCGTACACTTTCAATAGAGTTTTTAATCTCCTGGATATCTGTTTGAATCTGTTTTATGGATTCCATTTCTTTCCTCTGTTGGGCATTCATTGTTTCCATTTCATTCTTATACTGAGTCTTCCCAGTTTCTATCATGGTCTTGAGCTCATCTCTTTTTTTGTCAGTTTCTGTTCTAGAGTCTTGAATCATGACTTCCATTTTGTTCATCATCTCTCTGGTTAATTGGGAAATTATTTCTGATTTGAATTTTTCTAGAGCCTGATTGATCTGTTTTGTTACCTCCTGTGCTATGGGTACAGGGTGTCCTGCTGGTTCTCTATCAGACTTTTCATCCTTATTTGTCCTACTGTTTGCCATTGGTGAACTGGAAATTTGCCTTTGTGTCTTGCTTAAGTGTTTTCTCATTTTTATTTTTGTTGTTGGTTTGTCCTTGGTTTAATTTCTGGGTATTATTTAAATATTCCAGATGTAGTTGTGTTTTAGCTTTTGAGTTTCTAATGACTCATAGACATCCTCATGTTCATAATATTAGAGAAAACAACTCATTGAATAAATCACAATCCTTTATCCCTATTGATACATTCAGCAGCCCAATAGGATCAAACACAGCTTGCAAACTGACCACTTCTGGTAGTCATTAATCTACAACCTTTAAACCATGTGAATTAAATTAATATCAAGAAGCAGCCCAAAATGTATTTGCAGTGAACACGCTTTTCATTATAGCATCTTTACCATTTATGATGGGGGGTTAGACTGAGTTTGGATGAGAAGAGTAGATAAGTGAAAGAACTGGAGCAGGTTTGAAGTGAAACTAGAGGATGTAGAATGACCTTACTATCATTATGAAGCTATTAACTTCAGAGGGGATAGACAGCGTGCAGAGATAAGGACAAGAATATATCCCCATAACAGTAATAGGCGCTTGCCTTCCCTTGAAGCTAAGGAGCCATGAGTGAGGTAAAATGACTGGAGAAAAGAACATAAAGAAAAAAAAAACAAAACGAAATTTAAAAAAACCAAAAAAAAAAAGGTGGGGGGGATAATAAAAGAAGAAGTCTGAGTTAGACCAGGAACAGGAATAAAAAGAGAGATGAGGGATAATATATTGGAGCAAGGGATGGAGTTGGAGAGAGAGGACACACAAAAAAAAGAAATTTTATGGTGGAATGAGGAAAAGAAATAAAAAAGAAAAATTTAAAGGTCCTCTTTCAGACTATGTCTCTGTTGTCATATTATACCACATGTACAGCCATATGCAGATCCGAATCCCCTGATCTCGGCTAGCCAATGGCAGGTGCCCTCAACTGAGACTGACCTCAGTCCACAAGGCCTAACTTGAGTTTCCCAACCCACACAGTTGGACTCCACTCAGTTCAATTACAGGTTTCCCCTGCCCTTTCTTTAAAGATGTTCAAAGTTGGGAGCTCAGAAAACTACCCTTGATGAGCACCTATGCCTCTGCAGAGTAGGTCCAAGGACTGGCCCAATCAGGAGGTTTTAGAATGGGGGGGAGCACATTGTGGGGGTGTTTCAAGGGCCTTCCTTACTGGATCTGGTGGTATGCAGTCCGGGAGGTAGTATCCCTGCAGGGCGGGCCCGGGCAGGCATCTGGAGAGACCTCCTGTGGGGTCCTTGGGTCCTTACTGGATCTGGTGGCACACAGTCCAGGAGGTCATGCACCTGGCGGGTGGCCCCGGGCAGGCAGCTGGAGAGCCGAAATGAGGAAAGGAGATTGTACTCCTTTTGTTTTCTGTTTCAAACAGAACAGAAAACAAACTGAAACATAAGCCCTGTTGTACACTGACAATTTTAAAGAACATCAATTATACAAGTAAAAGACTAGGAGCAGAAAGTGTTTGTAGATATCAGACATTAACAGTGAGTGGTCAGTAGTCCTTCACAGGGCTTTGCAATGACAGTCAGCAGAAGCCACTTTGCAATCACTGGCAGTAAACAGTGATGCAGAATTCTTTGCCAGATACTTTAGAGAAATCATGCAAATAGCCCAACAATAATGAAAGGCTCTTCTAATCAAGGGGTGTATAGGTTATCATTGCACCTATTCTTACAAATAATCTCAATAGGTGTGGCACTCCATAAACCTGGGACATTGGCACATCAGGATGAGCCAAGAGAATTTCAGTATATTGGGTCCTCTCCAATTTGTAGAACAGCTGAATGCCCAATATCACATTGAAATAATCTTTTATTCCTGCCACAACTTCATTAACTGCATATTCCTTATTATCAACATTCTCTTGTTATTTCATACAATTTGCATACTCTTCCAGAATGGCACCTACATTTTTCTTAGCAGGATGTTGAAAGAGCTGCTTCTGCTTGGTCACTAAGTCCCAGTCCTCAACAAGCCATGGTTTTAATTCTTCAGGAATCTTCATTTCTTCTTCAGGTTTAATTGAGTTTATTGGTACATTTTAGGGATACAGTACAGTTACATTCATTGTTGGGATCTTGTACCTCTACATGACAAGTCTTGATTCTCATTTTTTCCCCTTGCCCCTGCCCTCCCTTCACCCCCTCGTCCCCTCCCCATCCACAAACACTTTATTTTCAGCTTTTCATTCTCTCACATTTTTTTCTTTTCCCTTTTTACTCTTCCCCTACCCATCCCACCTTCCCTACACCTTTAGCTCCTTTCTTCTCATTTCTAAATGTCAGTAATCTTATTAGAATCTTATGCATTGTTGCAGATTATTCACACCAGGGAAACTATTCTGTATTTACACATGTGTGACTTATTTATTTCACTTAGGAGTATATCTTCAATATGTACCCATTTTCCTATGAATGAATCTATTTTCTCATTATTTATGGCTCAGTAATATTCCATTTTCTAGAAAAACCACATCTTCTTTATCCAGTTTCCAATGGATGGGCAAATGGGCTGTTTCCAAGATTTAGCTATTACAAACTGTGCCACTATAAACATGGGTGCACATACTTCTCTGTGATATGATTCTTTTAGTTCTCTTGGAAATATACCCAGCAGAGGGATGGCTGGGTCAAATGGAACCTTCAGTTCAAGCTCTCTGAGGTATCTCCATATTGATTTCCATAGTGGTTGCACAAGTCTGCACTCCCACCAACAATGGAGAAAGATTCCTTTCTCCCCACAACCCCGACAACATAGCAATTAAAGCAATAAAGATAGGAAAGGAAGAAGTTAAACTGTCATTATTTGCTGATGATATGATGCTCTACATTGAAGATCCAAAAAACACCAAAAAACGTCTAGACTTAATTGACAGATTCAGTAGAGTATCTGGATACAAGGTGAATACCCAAAAATCAATAGCCTTCTTATACGCAAATAACAGACACTCAGAGAGAGAAATAAGGGAAAAAATTCCTTTTACAATAGCATCCAAAAAAATGAAGTATCTAGGGATCAATCTAACAAAAGAAACAAAAGATCTCTACACTGAAAACTACAGCACTCTGAAAAAAAGAAATTGAAGAGGATATAAAAAAATGGAAAGATATCCCCTGCTTCCTGGGTAGGAAGAATCAACATAGTGAAAATGGCCATACTACCAAAACTGTTGTATACATTCAATGCAATGTCAATTGAAATTCCAATACTATATTTCACAGAACTAGAAAAAAAAATCCAAAAATTCATTTATAACCATAAGAGACCTAGAATATCAAAAGCCATTCTAGGCAACAGACACATGGCACCAGGTGTAACAATTCCCAATTTGAAACTATACTACAAAGTCACTGTGATAAAAACAGCATGGTACTGGCAAAGAAATAGGCCTGAGGATCAGTGGAACAGACTGGAAGATGCAAGAAGAAATGCAGATGTACTCAGCTACCTCATCTTTGACAAAGGAGCTGACCATCCTCAGTGGAGGAAAGATAGCCTCTTTAATAAATGGTGTTGGAAAAACTGGATGTCAACCTGACACAGATTAAAATTAGACCCTTATCTTTCGCCATGCACTAAATTAAAATCCAAATGAATTAAAGATCTAAATATTAAAACAGAAGCATTAAACTTGCTGGAAGGTAAGTTAGGCAGAATTCTGGAAGACATTGGTATAGGAAAAGACTTTATGAACAAATCCTCAGTAGCACGGGAACTAGCAGATAGAATCAACGATTGGGATTTCATCTTACTAAAAAGCTTCTGTACTTCAAAAGAAACCATCAGCAGAACTAAGAGACAATCTACAATGTGGGAAAAAACTTTTACCAGCTGTTCCTCAGACAAAAGACTATTATCAAGGATATATAAAGAACTCAAAACAATCAGTCCCCCCAAATATAAAGACCCAATTCAAAAATGGGCATCCGAAATGAACAGACATTTCTCAGACAAAGAAATCAAAACAGCAAGTAAATATTTGAAAAACTGTTCCACATCACTGGTCATTCGAAAGATGCAGATGAAAACAACACTGAGATTCCACCTCACCCCACAAAGAATGGCTGCTGTCAGGAATCTTCATTTTAACTTCATTCTATTTTTAAATGCCTCCTCACTTTTAACAGTAGGGTCTCTTTTCGGGCTCTTTTCTTCCAAGGGGCCTGGAGTACTTCACTGGTACTGCTACCATCTCCATTCCCAGGAGTCTTCTGTTTGTTCTTGTCTTCCTCACAGATCCTGAAGGAGGGCTCTCCACAGAGAAACCTCCCCATCTTCCTGGAAGAGCTGGCTTAAGATTCTTTGGATATGGACCAGACATCTTTCCTGAGGGGGGCCCTCTCTTCTTACTTCTCTGCATATTGCTTCGGGATGGCTTTTTGAAGTTGTCTTCTTCTGCAGATTGCTGTCCACAAGTTTGAGAATCCTGCTTTCTGGAACTCATTCAACCCTGTTGTTTTCCAACCAACAATCTTCCTTCACTCCCTTCTAAGAACTGGTAGTAATTTACCAGATGGAATCTTACAGGTCTGTAGGGATGATCTGGAAGGAAGGATGAAGTGGGAGACATAATCCAAGATTCTGTAATCAAGGATGGTTCTGAAATCCAGATCAGATCTCCTGATCCTTACTGTATGGCAAGCTTAGCTTTTCTGATGGTGACCTGAAACCAGAATCCAGCTCTTTCCAGTAGGACATGTGATCACTGCCATCCCTCCAACCACTATGGTTGGGATGCAAATTTTTTGACACTACAAGTGATCACTTTTTCCACTTGCTAGGATACTGCTGCATAGTGAATGGTTCAATTCTTAGATGGACCTGAATTATTCTAAAGACTATCCACCACATCCCTGACAAATAGTGTTTATTAAGAGGGAGAGATATCAACTTCTTGGTAAATTTCTTTGGTGATTGGATTCTGATTAGAAATCTAAGAGAGAGGTGGGTAGACTCAGATGGCTAGGACAAAAGAATCTCCCCACCCCTTCTTACTTCCCATCCCTCAAGAAATGTGCCTTAAACTAATTTCCAATCTGCTGTGCTACATATGGAAGAAAGGGTGAAGACTGAAGTATGTAGTATTGACTCTCCTGCAGAAAGGATAGCAGTAATTTTTCCATCTAGTGGCAAAGGATAGAGACAAAACTTGGTGAAGTACCAGATTCATATCCTAAAAGAAGCTTCCTTAACCCAAGGGACAATTTATATTATAAAAAATAAAGGTAGGGCATGTATTATATTCTTAATCATAGATTTTAATGTATTAGGTCTCTGATCCATTTTATAGGTACCAAGGTGTTCCTCACTGCCCAAATTTATATATTAAAGTCTTAATACTTAGCTCAGAATGTGATTTTGTTTTGGAATAGTACAATCATTCTTGTGTTTTTAGTTAAAGATGACACAATACTGGAGTGAGGTATCCCCCAATATAATATTACAAGTGTGTTTTGAAATTTAAACAGACACACAAGTGTATACACACAGGAAATATTATGTGAACACAAAGACCAAGATCAGTGTAATTTATGTACAAGTCAAGGAATACAAAATAATAATAGTAAACCACCGGAATCTTGGAGACCGGCATGGAACAGATCTTTCCCTAGTAACTTTGGAGGGGGCATGGCCTTTCCATACCATAGTCTTGAATTTCTAATCTTCAGAGATGTGAGAAAATAAATCTCTGTTGTTTAACCCTGATTTTTGAGAGCAGCACTAGTAAACTAATATAATCACACAGCTTTAACTTTAGTTTTAAGCTTAATATTTTCTTTGAGCTGAGAAATGACATGCTGAAGATAATACTAAATCTGTTAGAGATAAAGATATTATATCTCCACATTTCATCATCAGTCATAAAATTCATTATCTATTGTAAAATCTTCTGGAAACTTGGCTTGACAATGCATTTAAGCCATTATAGTTTCATTAATTTGGAAATTTTAAAATTTAGTCTTGTGATAATAATATTTCTCAGGTGTTTAGGGTTGTAGAGACACTATCAATGAACAACTTCTGCATTGTCTTTGGCAGCCTTAATATTTTACACATCTCCTGTCTATCTAAATTCCTTGAGTATCTTTTTGCTTGTTTGTTTGTTTTTTTAGACAGGGTCTCACTATGTAGTTGAGACTGATCTGGACTCACTATGTAGCCCAGGCTGGTCTCAAACTCACAGCAATCCTCCTGCCTCAGCCTCCTGAGTGCTGGGATTACAGCCGTGCACCACCATGCCCGGCATCCTTGAGTATCTTTACATATCACCCACTAATTCTAAGATTTTGAGGTATGATGGGCCTTGTTATATTGGAAAATTCATGATGGTTTTTGCAAAATGGTTCTGGTATTTG